CGAAACTATATTTTGCAATAGCGCTATTAATATATTTTAGTTGTGTATATTTTTTCTTGGAGTTTACCATTACGCAATTGTTGTTGTGAAATGTAACGCCTTGTGTATATAAAAAGTTGTAAAACTTTTCATTTGTTTACAGTGTTTACGTTTTTTTATAACTTTAACTATTTTAATTTATGTCTAATAATGTCTATTATTATAGACATTATTAGATATGTCTAATAGTTAAAAGTCTAATAATGTCGAGATTTATGTCTGAATTTTATAAATCTGGTTCACTGAAAAAAACTATAGAAAACATAAACCTTTATCTACAGCCGGACATTATGTCAAGCACATGAAACTGCTGTTTATAGAAGCACTTATGGTGTCACTATGTGAGAGTATTGCAGGTGGTCAGAGTCAACGTGAATATTGAACAACTATTATGACATCATGTTCTCATAGTGAGATTTCTGGAACACAACAGTTTTTGAAAGATGCAATTGAGTCATCTGGTTATAAATATAAAAATATAATATATGACATTACTTGCAATTGTGTTGCTGTTGCAGTTGTTGCTGGTTCAACGAGTGTTTTGTGTGATGATGAACTTGAAGAAGATAGTAAAGCAACAGGTGAATTGGAAGACTATTTTATTTTGCCTTTTGTAAACGAATCATTTATCACAAAACTAGATTTTATTAAAAAACATCCAGTTTAACCATTGCTAAATAACGGAACCATTCTTCCATTTAAATCGACCGAAACGTTTTATCGTACAATGCCAATTGGTGACCTAGTCCAACAAAAATGGTTGTCACATAATATAAAAAATAAATGTCTCTTTTGATCTACTTGCATGCCATTTTCGATCAACAGAAAAAGTCCATTTTTATTAGGTATCAAACTAAGGCTACTCTATATTACATTACAATAAATATAAATTTTATTTTATACATTATTTACATTATTTTTTACATTTTATTCATTATAACAAAAAATAGTTTTATTTTTTATGTTAATATAGTTGGTAGTTTGGTGCTAAACCCATCGCCAATCCTGCCATCTTTACTTTAGTCTGATTTATTAGCACAAATTATTATTATTGTTGATAATTATTTCAATTTTGTTATGAATAATTTATGCCAGGTTTAACTAATAATTAGGAGACCTCTTAGCTCAGTAGATTTTAGAAATTTTTCTAAGTGTTTTCTAGATTTATTTTTATTTACATTGTTCTAGGTTTCAATTTCAGCATTAAGACTCTATATAATATACTTATCAAATATGAAACTTCAATGAATGCAAATGCAGTTCAAGTGTTACTCCGTTGTTCAGTTGGTATAGACGAAGAAACTAGGGTGGATCGATTTTCATAGCAAAAAAAAAAAGTTAAAAATCAATATTCCTGAGACACGAATCGATGTCTATTAATTATAAGATGAAAGTAAAAAAATATTTTTTGATTTTGAAGAGATCTTGAGGTTCCTCTTTGGATTCTAAATCCTTGCCGGATCCTAATATTTTTGAATTTTTTTTTTTTTTTTTCTAAACTATATCAACCTTGGACTCAAAAAAAGCATAAAAAAAAAGAATAAAAAAAATTTCAACAATATTAGGATCCGTCATAAATTTAGAATCCAAAGAAGAACCTCTAAAACTCATTTAAATTAAAAAAAAAAAAGTAAGGTTCTTTTTTCACCAAAAGACATCGATTCGCAGCTCAGGCAAATCAAATTTTAAAAATTTTTAAAATCGATCCACCCTAGTAGAAACATTACTTGATGATAGGTGGCAAAAACATATTAAAAGAAATCGACAAATTTTAGAAAGAATTATTAACATTATTTATTTAATCGGTAAACAAAATTTGGTATTTCGGGGATGCTGCATATGACTTAATTGAGACTGGTCCGATCCAGGGTAACTTTTTAGAAAAATAGTTGAGCTTTTTTCTAATTGTGATCCAGTGCTTTTTAATCATTTACTGCATTGTAAACAGGCAAGTTAAAATCGAAAAAAAAAATACAAAAAGGGAAACAAAAGAAGCAGAAATATGTTCACGGTCATAGCCGAGGAAGTTGGATAACAATGCTTTCAAAAACAACAATTAACAAAATAATAAATATAATTGGTACATTAATACAAATCAAAATAGCACATAACATTAAAAAAGCTAGAGTATTTTTGTTAGAAGTGGATTCCACACCAGATATTAGTGTTTTAGATCAGTTTGCGTCTATGCACGATATATTGTTGATGGCTGTGTTCAAGAAAGAATTTCATGCTTAATTTTATTAAATTCCTTTACCGACAAAACACAGTATCAGGCCATAAAAGCTGAGTCAATGAATCTTTCGACGGAGCAGCAAATATGTCCTAAAAAATTAAAAAACTGAATCTCCCATGTCCATTTTCTCGCATTGTTATGCACACGTTTTGAATTTAGTTGTTGGTGATATTACAAACTATTGCATTCAACCTCAAAATTTTTTTATTTTAGAGTTAACAGCAAACTTCTTTTCTGATTCATAAAATAAAATGCAAGTTTGGAGATTTTAAGTAATAGTCAATAAACTCCGTCGTCTTTAATAATAAACTCCGTCGTCTTCAATAATAAACTCTGTCGTCATCAACAAGATAAAACAGTAAAAGTCATCTACTAAAAGAAACCATTCATAAAGTCGAAAATTCTGATTATAGTAATCACCGTTTTAAACATTTAGTTAAAGTTCTTCATTTCTTTGGTTACATCAAAGACATAGATCCTACAACTGCAACAACTGCAGAAAGCCATTTATCACAATGACAAAAAATTTAAAACAATTTTAACAGCTTTTATATTCTTAAACATTTTTAAAATTACAACACCTGTTTCAAAATATTTGCAAACTAAAAATCTTGATTATGTTTCTGCGTGGAATCAAATTACAAAACTAATTGCTAACACAGATTTGCCAAAATTATAAAAGAGACTGGACAATTTACAGATATAATTGATAATGAAACGGAAGATTTCGAACACTTAGTTAATTAAAATTTCCTGAAAAGCATCAGATGAAGTCCCAGATGATCAAATATTAGCATTTAGAGTTAATGTATTTAGAGTTGTATTCAACAATTTAAAAATGACATTAGAAACGAGATATGGAAAAAATAAAGAACTTTTTCAAACATTGGCATATTTTGATCCTAAGAAGTTTTAAGATATAAACAGTATAATTTTAACTATAAATGAAACAAATCTAAAATCTGTTTTTGAAATAGCTAAAATAGATGTGTTTACATTAAGAGAAGAACTTGATCATTTTACATCTTCATATGATAATTTGTTGTCTGTAGTAGGTGAATTTTTGAAAATAGTGGACAGTTCGAAAGCAATATTTCAGGACAACGAAAATGAGTTCAATTTAGATTTTAATTATGAAAATGAAGATAAGGAAGTTGAAGAGGATAATAACGATGATACTGAACTAGAATACCAAAGTTCAGCAACAGAGTCAGAAGATAATGATACAATTTTTTGTAAAAATTGCATTCTATGAGCATTTAATTTTACTTTTACACTAGTTCATATAGTAATCTATATTTTTAAATACGTCTCGACACTGGCATGCCCTTAAGTTAACTGTGAAAGAGCATTTTTAAATTGAAAATTATTAAAAATTAGTTATGATGAACCATAAACCAACACCTGCTTGAGTCATTACTTCTGATAAATACTGAAACAGACATGCTTCTTGACTATAAAACTGTTATAGATACATTTCATCTTAAGTATTTTGGAAATTGTTTACATAATTAATGATTGTTTGACAATTGACTCTGTTTTTGTTTAATATATTACATATACATATTAGTAATTTACACTGTTTGATTTTTTATTTATTACTCAATATATCAGTTTTAGATCATAGTTGTATACATTTATAACAGTTTGTATTTTTTATAAATAAAATTTAACTTGAATTTTATGTTAATTTGTTAATTCCAAATGATAAAAAAGTAAGGATAGAAAAATAGAGAACAATATAGATAATATAAAATAATACAAAAGAGATACGAAAATTAAAGTTTCATCAGGCGGTTACGGGTGGTCTCCTTAGACCCACTAGCATCCTGGGTTTTCCCTTTGAAAGTTGAATTCTATATTTCTCTAAACTATGTTTGATATTTCTCCATATTTCTTTAAGATAAACTTTCAAGTAAAGATGATTGCAAAAAGTTTAAAAACTAAATGCAAGAAAATTACTTATGATTTAAAAATATATTTAATATTAAAATTATGTGCAAAATCTTTTTTAATTGATTGGTTCTGTAATTTAAGGATTAAGAAAATATTTGAATTTCTTTCTTTATAAAAACTTTTTAAAAAAGCTTTAAAAGATTAGAAAAAGATTACGTAAGAATTTTGCATATGATGATAAAAGTAGCCAAACAAATTTACTCAAAAAATTGAAAAAACACTGTTTATGAGAATATATATATATTTTTTAGGAATCTTGAACATCCTTAAACATTCTTTTGTATTAAAATGAATATCGACAATAAAGAAATACTTTCAATTTAAAAAGCATCCAGAACACTATACCGTACATTTATTAAATAGTGAGAAAATGAGTAAGTTACCAATAGACAAAGCGATAAGTTCGTTCAATAACTTTTTGATCTTAAAAAAAAATAAGAAAAAGAGTTTCAAATTAAAAAAGTCTTTCGTTAAATTAAGTGCAAGTTGTATTACATTAAAAATGATAACAATTAAGAATCGATATTTTGAGAAAGTACAAATTAATTACTTTGACTCATTGCTTTCTTAATATAGCATAAGTTTAATTTAAAATATCAGATTTAATAGTCAGGTCTTTTTTTTAATTATTCGATTTTTTTTTTTAATGTTTTTATTGTATTAAAGATAATATCTAATTATTGTAATATTTAATAACAACTGTTTAAAAAAAAAAAAAAAGCGGTGTTTCACAGATGTTCTTTCAAATAAGCTAAACAAAAATAATATTCTGAATGAATGGACTTAACGATCAAATATTTTAAAGCGAATGATTGAAAAGCGATTTAGGCGCTTATTTAAGACAAATACGCGAGAGAAAAAGCCAAAAAAAAATTTCGAAGTGAGTTATTTCTGTTAAAACCTTTTTTAAAATAGAAGGATAAGTTGTCTTATGGGGAAAATTTATTTGTGTCTTTTTAGTAATTAAGTATAATTTAGCAAATATTTTTAGAAACTATCATATTAACTTTTATCATAGAAACTATCATATTAACTTTTAAAAAATTAAATATTGACATTTTTTAAATATTTTATAATTGATTTTAAAATATAATTTAAAATTAATAATATTGGAGTTAGATGTGTATAAAGCAAAAGCTAACTTTGACTTTATAATATCTGTTTTTTGCAATATCACATTTTATAATAATATAATAATTAAAACTAAATAAAAGTATGTCAATAAAACAAACGCATATCTTATTTTGATGCTTTACTAATATGCTTTGATACAATCAAATGCTTTAGTAAAGCATTTGATTGTATCAAAGCATTTAATTGGTAAAGTTTCTAAATTTATAATTATGTTTAGATTTTAACGATTTTAAAAATGTTCTTGGAATGGTTAGTTATTTGCTGTCCTGTGTTTTTTTTATTATCTACCATTGTTTATAAAGTTTTCAAGCTACCAAAACAAGATCTTGGACGTGTGAAAAAGTTGTTGTTTCCTAATAATACGCCTGTAATTATTGCACATAGAGCTGGTAAAGACCAGGCTCCGGAGAATACTCTTCTTGCAATTGAAACGGCTTATAAAAATGGAGCTACAGCAATTGAAGTTGACTTATGTTTCACAAAAGATAAAGTACCAGTGTTGCTTCACGACGACACTCTAGATCGGACGACTAACGGGACGGGTTTAATTTGCAAAACATCGTATAAAGATGTGTTACAACTCAACGCTGCAGCTAAATTTGGTCGTTCTGTTAAAAATGTGGTTAAAGTTCCAACTCTAAGCGAAGCAGTACAGTTTTGTGTAGAAAAAAACATAATCATTGATTTGGATGTAAAATCAAATTCTATGGAAACCGTTGAAACCCTTAAATTTCTGCAAAAAACAGTTCCTGGGGTGACTGACATAATTTTTGTAACATCATTCCATGCTCACATACTTTACGCTGTTCGACGTCATTGCCCTGACTTCTTAATAGGAATTATTTGGGATCCAACATATATTGTGTATACATTTACAGGTGACGAAAACTATAAAGGATGGGCTGCTCCAATATATTGGTGTCTCGATATTATATACGGATTTTTAGTGCATTCTTTTATACCAGATTTTCTTGGAGTCTCTTTAGTATCAATTGAAAAAGATATGCTATCAAAAAACTACGTTGAGAAATGGAGAGCTAAGGGAATTGAAGTTGCTGCTTGGACTGTAAATAAGTTAATAGAGAAAAACTTTTTGCTTCATCTTGGTGTTCCTATTATTACTGATTCTATTGAAAAGTTTCAATGACCAACTTATTTTTTATTAAATTGAGTTTGTGTTTTGTCAAAAAAACTTAATTACATATATATATAATTATATACTAAATATTAATACTACAATATGAAAAATTAGATAACAAAGCGCCTGAAAAAAAAATTTTATTCAAAATTGATATTACCAGTGTAAGTAAAACTACGCCTAGTGCGAAAAATATACTACTTGTGTACCAATCACGATAACTAATATTAAGTCTATACAATATCTACCAATCAAAAAGTAATCTATACAATATCCACCAATTAAAAAGTAATCTTAGAGTTATTATTAACAGGGCCGTGTCTAGGGGATGTCTGCTACGTCATTGGACGTACTCAAAAAAATTTAAAAAAAGTTTTTCAACTTGATTATATTGTTGAAAAAAATCTTACTATATGTAACTATTAAAACCAAACTACAGCTAAAACTAAACAAATTATTATTTTTTATTATTATTAAGTTAATTATCTGGAACGGTTGGAAAAAAATTAAAAACCGGGAAACGGTTCAAATTCCAAAATATTAAAAACCGGAAAATAGTATATCGGTTTCATAATTTTGCGATTGTTAAAAAATACTAATTATAATATTTTGATGGAGGTTAAACTAACTTTTGAGTTAAATAACTTAATTAAAAACTTGAATTGACATACTTTATTTTATTTTGTTATATAGAACTTTATTTTTTTGGTTTAAAAAAAATTAAAATAATTATTTTAGTTAAAACAAAGTTTGGACTTACACCCTGAGTATTATCAAGTTTTATTTAATTTAACTTTTAATTTAACAAGTTTTTTTTCCAGAAAAACATGAACAAGGTAAATTTACATTGAATATATTACTGGTAGGACTTCCAGAAGATTACATGATCTTATCATGAAGCCCTTTACAATCTATATAACGAATTAAAAGGTAGAAAATTTACAAATATTAAAAATTACATAAGCGTTAGAATATTCTTCAGATGTTAAGCAAGTTTTAACATAATATTTTATAATATGGATAGGGGAGAGCGGGGTTGGTTGTCACACTTTTTACATTTTAGGCTGCTCAGCTTTTAATTTTCATCCAATCAATGCCAAACTTTGCACAAAGCTAATTTAACTATTTCCAGTAACTATTATAATATTTTTATGACATTGAGTGAAATATTTATTGCTGTAAAATCATTTTTCAAAGACCACTTCTGTGTGACAACTAGCCCCGCTCACGGGGTAGGTTGTCACATGGTGCGGGGTTGATTGTCACATTTGGATTTTGACAAGTTTAGATAAGAATTTAATGTAAAACGAGTACAAATTAATTTCGTTTATGTTTTACTAAGAAAAACAAAAATAAAATACTATAAACTGAAATATATATATTTTAAATATAACCCAATTAACAAATTTAGTTTATCGCTATAAATGTTTTTAGGTTTGGTTTTTTAAAAATTATTGGATAAAGAACACAATTCACAAATAAACTGTTGTAAGCCTGGTGTGCATTCTTCATGAGCCCATTTTTGGCAAACCTGACATTGAATCCACTGTTCTCTTGATCGGCTGTTGGAAAATGATTCAAAATAATAGATGCACAGATACTCTTTATCTTCAGATGAATTTAAGACTATAGAAGGTTTTTTCGTAGCAAGATTTGCTTTTATTAATTCTTTTTTACTTCCATTAGTAAATTTTTTTTTATTAGTTTTCTTCTTTTTATAATTAGCAAGCCATGCTTTGACAGGCGTGTTAGTAAGAATCATAGTTGACCGCTTTTTCCTACCTCTTTTTGATGCTAACCTCGGACCTGCTTTAGGCAGAGGCCTAATACTCTCAGGTGGTATGATTGAATTGTTAAAACCTAATGTTGTGATTGGGTTCTGATTAGGGGTTTTATTTAATACAACTGGATCTTCTATTGTTATGTCTACCTGATTACCTGGTATCTGAATAGATTCTTTAAATCTTTTATTTGATGGTTCTGGTTGCATTGAATAAGATTCACAGTCTTTTTTATTTGAATCAGCCTGTGAACAAGGTGGGTCAGGGCGATCAGTTACATAGTTAGGACAGTAATCAATTTCAGTAAACACATCAGGATTTAACGGGTAAATACCTGTTGCAGAAAAACCACTTAAAATATTGTGGGGAGATACAGCCTTTGGAAATGCAATGTTTACTATTTTTGGAATATCATATATTGTAACAGTTTTTCCAGGATTCATTACTAACCATGATGTCATAGCAGTATTTATGTAGTTTTTGAGAGGACCATAAACTGCCTTATCCAAGGGCTGCAATTTATGTGTGCAATGTGGTGGGAAGGTAAGCATTACTATTCCATTATTTTTTGCCAAATCTAATCCTTCAATACTAAGATGAGTTTCGTGATTGTCAAGCAACAATAAACAAGGCTTTTCTTTAGTACATTTTGTATTGCCTACAAAATGTTTTAGATATTTTACAAAGTTTTCTTCTTTCATCCAACCACTTGGATTTGCATCTCCAGCACTTCCTGTTGGTGCACTGATTAGGAAATGATCTTTAAAGTTTTTACGAGGAAAAATAAAAAAGGGTGGAATACTATTTCCAATAGCATTTATTGTGCATGCTAATGTTACAAGAGTTCCTCTTTCAGCTGACGTGATGGCTCCTACTTGTTTTAATCCTTTTTTCGCAATAACCTTTTTAGGTTGCTGTACAGTAGTTACAGCAGTTTCGTCCATGTTCCAAATGTCATTTGGTGAGAACGAGTATTTTTGCATACAGTGCTGCAAATTGCTAAAAAATGATGCAACATTCTGCTTATTGAAACTTGTCGCTCGACTTAAACTAGTAGCTTCAGATTGCCTAATGGAAATATTTGAATGGCGCTTTATAAATCCTGTAAACCAATCCTTACCAGCTTGTTCCTTTACAACCCAAGAGTTGGGAACCTTCATATTATTTTTAATTGCTAGCTGGAAAGCAAGCTTTTTTACTTCGGTAGGAGTTAAACCAAAATATATATCTGCTGCTCGCAACAGGTAGGTGACCAGTTCTTTTTCTACTTTTTCTGGCAATATCAATCGACTTTTGTATCCTATAACATTCAGGGAGGTGGGGTTTTCAATTTTGTCAATTAGATCTGCTATAGAACCATGTGATGGGTTAGTAATAATAATTTTTTTACAATAACGTGCTAATGTTCTGTAATTAATCCCATGGTTTTTTGCTGCTGATCTAATAGAAATGTTATTAATCTTTACATCTTTAACAGCACACATTATGACATCTCCAGAAGTATAACCTCTATTAGTTTTTCTTTTAAAATTTCGTACCATGTTTATTACTAAGCAAATAAAAATATTTGCAAATAATGTAAACAAAACATTAATATATATATAATATATATATATATATATATATATATATATATATATATATATATATATATATATATATATATATATATATATATATATATATATACATATATATATATATATATATATATATATATATATATACATATATATATATATATATATATATATATATATATATATATATATATATATATATATATATATGTATATATATATATATATATATATATATATACATATATATATATATATATACATATATATATATATATATATATATATATATATATATATATATATATATATATATATATATATATATATATATATATATATATATATATACATAAACCCACTAAATATAAACAATGCACAAACAAAACAACAGACAGTTTTACAAACTAAACAACAGCTAGTTGTTTAGTTTGTAAACAAAACAATAAACAGTTGAACTTCTGCAATCCTTTTTCTATAATTATACTAAACATTGGATCGGAATCTAAAGTTATGCACGTTGAAATAAAAATAATTTAGATTACAGATATTTAGTTGAACAAATATAACACTTTGACTTTAGATTTTTAAAGAATATCTTAAACATTAAAATATTCCTCAATAATGCGGAAAATAAACAAAGCCACTAAATATTCTGCAAGCGGCGTTTAATTTGCAGCGCATGGAGTCGAGGCAAGTGTGACAACCATCCCCATATAATTTGTGACAAGCAACCCCTTCTGAGTAAGTTACTGGACACCTGTACATTTACCTAAAAGCGTGAGAATTTCATGATATTTTTTTACGGATTAAGTTACTCAAATGAATAAAGTACTTTATAAATCTACATTCAAAACACAATAAAATAATTTTCGTTTGGTAAAAGAAAATTTCTGAGTAGGCGAAATTTTACTTTTTCATATCAAAAACCTATAAAAACGAATAACTTTTCTTCTGCACGCTAAGAAAAGATAAAAATTACTGTAAAAATGTTTTTTTTATATAACATTTCCATTGTATATTTTGAAATTTCTATATCTTATTTACATTTCCTGTAATAAACTTTGTGACAACCAACCTTCGTGACAACCAACCCCGCTCTCCCCTATATAACATTCTAAATATTGAACAATATTATAATATAAAGTATTCAGCATATATTGTTTAAATAATATTCATCACACAGTCGACAAAAATATCAAATAACTTGAAATACTAAAAATAAATAAATATATTTTGTGTTGAAAAGATTATTTCTTTTGTTTTCTTTTTAAAGGAGGAATAAGACCATTTAAAAGAAAAATCAAAGTTAGGTAAAACTATTTTATTCCAAAGAAATGGACCACGATAAGAAATACAAAACTGATCCATTTTTGTTTTGCAAAACGGCTCTTGAATATTTTTACTATCACGAAGTTCATATTTGTTTTTTGGTTTCAAATTATAGAGATTTATAAATACACTTGGAGATAAATTTTCTTTACATTTAAACATAAAACATAAAATATTAAAAATATTTAGTTCGCATATATTTAAAGCTTTCATTTCTATCAGAAGTGGTGTTGAGCTTAAAAAACGATTTCCAAAATTAATTATGCGAGCTGCGTGTTTCTGATGCCGATAGAGAGATTTAATGAATAAATGAATAATATAGTTGAGTTAGTTGCT